TGCTCATCAGTTGCATGTCCCTCACTTGTCTTTCTAGAAGTATTGATAGCAGTTCTGATATCTGAGTGTTGTCAGTATTAAAGGACGTAGTCCACACACACCTCATGGAGCCTGATGTCTACCTCAAAAGAGGCCACTGGTTCTATGTATTGCTTTAAGTAGTTATTACTTAATTAAATTTGTTCTTTGCAATCATACATGTGTAAAATGTGCTTTTGTTACTCTCACATTCAACCTATCTTACCCCCTAAAATTCCCACTTCAAAATCCCTTCCTAGGATCCATGTCTGTTTGTTCTGTGGCTCACCAAGTTCCACCAATGCTGCTGTTGCTGTGACCAAGGGTTTGGAAATACCCAGTGGATCCTGGTGGGCTCTCTAGGTGTCTATGTTAGGTTTTGTTTGCTTGTTTGTTGGTGGGTTGGTTGATTGGTTGGTTGGTTGTTCTTTTTTAACTACTTGCTGTTTTAAGGACTAGCCTTCAGATTTCTCCAAAACCACTCGTTCATAGCCAACATTCTAGTTAAGGAAGGAAAATATATCTTTAGCCAGAGTTTGGAATGTCTACTGCATTGTAGAATTACTTCACTCTCAGTTTGGAAACCTGAGATCAATGAAATTTAAATCACTGTGTTAACAGATTTTTTAAAATTTATTGCTTCATATAACTACACCTTTAAATTTAAGTTTACAATGGCTCTGACTTTGTTAATGTTATTTCTATCAAAAAGCCTGCTACTGAAAATAGTTATAAAATTTGTCTATATAACTTGATACAGACTAGAATGTTCTGGTGAGAAACCCTTCTTATGCTTCTGTAAGCAACCAACCTGAAGCTTAGTTAGTCATTAAGAAAGCAGACACAAAAGTAGAAGAAGAATTAAGCGAATTGGAAGGTAGACATAAAGGGAGGAACAGGATCAAAACTTACTATAAAGGTATATGAAAAGTCATATTGAAAGCATTCTTATGTATAATTAATACATGATAATAAAAATATTTAAAAATTGAGACCATCTCCCCTAAAAGAATGTTCTTTCCAAATTATATTTCTTATTGTCTATTAATTTACCAGGAACCTGTATTTAAAACCATAATTCAGAGCATGACAGTGCATGGCCTAGCACAGCCTCAATGGGAGGAAAACCCTAAGCTTGCCTCAGTCTCTGGGAGTGAGAGACAGATTTAAATGAAGCAATCTCTAAACCACAACAGCATCCCACTTGGCCCTGATTTTGAAGCCTGGTGCTTTGTTGGTAAGATTTGGACCACAAAGCAGAATATGCAGACACACAAATACCATGAGCGTGACCCTCTCTAAAACTATCTTACATAGCAGACAGTGGCTTGTTTCTGTTACTTGGGGCAAGCATGATGGATCACTGATTGCATAAGGCCTGGCCAGTTTGCCGTTTGTAACCTCTCCCTCTCTGGCTGTAGCATATAGAATAACTCATGACTCATTAAGACACCTAAGTGGCCATTATCCTGAGATATTCTAAGATGATGTTAAAATAGCCCAGGTGACCATGGAAATGGGGCGAAGAGAAACTTGGAATGGATTCAGTTGGTAGAGAAAATAGGTGGAGATGTCAGGAGGTATTTAAATGACTTTTAGAGAAACCTAACTTACCCAGTGTGTACCGTACTACAAACATCTTTCAGCGCTGTCAGGTATGGTTTGCCACTAGAACACAGGGTAACTCGTGTGTGTGTGTGTGTGTGTATCTGCATGATCATTTTTATACTGAAGTTAGACTGAAACCCACCCACTCAATGTCACACCTGCGTACTAAGATTTCTGCATAGTTGAATTAACTGTCAAAATGCTCGGTTTTTATCCCAGCTCACCTGCCTCATTTCCATCTTTGTGAAGGCCCTGCTCTCAACATATGTCATAGCTACATGCTTTCTTGGCATAGATTTCTGGGGGTTGACTTGCTGAAATCAGGTAGACAAAGAAAGAGAGAGAGAGAGAGAGAGAGAGAGAGAGAGAGAGAGAGAGAGAGAACCACCAACCATAGAGGAGCTGTCACTGAAGTAGATGGAGAACTCATAAGATAAGCCAAAAAATTGATGACATGGGACTGGAAAATTATGCTTAGTACAAAAGCTTAAGAAGTCCCTCAGTGGTCCCCCAGGTATCACTAAATTAAGGATCAAATTCCTCATTGACCACAACCATAGCTTAGCTCTTCCCAAAATGGTTCACATATGTCCTTCGTGTGAAAATGGTTGAGTACTTAGAATTTACTCCTAAAATCGTCTTTGAAAATCTTAAGATTTTAAAGTTCATGCCTAAGAAATTTCAATCACTTATATCCACAATTTACTTTTTGATAATATGTCTTACTTCCCAGCATGTCAGATAAGTGAACTACTGTGCACAGCTTCCTAGTGCAAGAGAAACTGTCTCTGTTCTGCAGTTGTTTAAGTAAAGGGGAGTGTTGGCCTGAGATTTTTCTACTTCTGTTGAAAAGCAGACAGGGTCTTAGCTTCTCTTTAAGAGTATGTGAAACACACATGAGGTTACGGTTGTGAACGCACCATAATTCTTGATGATGGTCTTATTGCTGTGATTCTGTCCAGCTCATTTTCCCATGATTTCCTCTTTATTGGAGGGTTGTTTGTTGTTCCTGTTTCACTTGACAGAGGAATCCACATGTGCCCTCCTTGGTTCAGTAGCATCATCGTCATCAGTGTTCCACTGAGAGTCACTCCAGACACAAAGGAGAATGGACACCAGTAGAGGCAGGCTTATGCAGCCCAGTGGTGCATGGTGGGAAAATAAGGACTTCCTCTTCAGTATAGAAACTGAGAAGACTCCAGTGCAACTGTTAAAAGTTATGTTCAAGAAGGAAAAATGGGCCATAACAAGAACTGTGTTAAAATATAAACTTATTTAAAAACCTTAGATCCTAAGAGGATGAATTGATCAAAGATAGTTTTAATGAAAGAGAAGATAGGGGAGATGTTAAAGCCAGAAGCTGTTTGATAGAAGGAATTGTTCATTTGTTGAGTTGTTGATCTGTTTTGATGCTGAGGATTTGACACAAGACGTTATGCAACACACACACACGATTAAAAGAAAAATAAGCATTTTTATGACAAGAGGCTGTGTCATCAATATGTCAGGTCAAAGGTCAATGAGGATATTTACAAGATGATTAGGAGACAAAGTGCTGTGAACAGGTGAAGAGGTGAATAATTCCCTCCTGGGACAGGTAGAGTATCAAAGCCCTGGTATTGTAGCACCATGAGTATTATTTCCAATGGATAAAGGTTGGGTCATGCTACAAATATTTACCAAAGTGGCCATCAACCTCAAATTCAGGATCCTGGAAACCAGCCTTCAGTGACTTCCTCACTGCTCTAGACTTTGCTAGACTTGTTCTTTAAAGTCTGTTCTTTGATCAGGCCTTTCTTTTAAGAACATTTTCCTAGCTGTCTTCTCAGGTGTGAATCTAGCTCTTCTTTCAAAGGATGTAAATTTTTACTCTGCATTGCATGCTGGTTGCTTTATTATGGTACGTGTGAATGTATTTACCCTATCAGTGTTTGTTATGTGCCTACTACATTTGAGGCATGGTGCTTAGCTGTGGAAAGAAGCAGATGAGGAAGAGTCATGGTTTCCTAAGGGATCCTACAATCTGCTGGAGGAACGGGGCAGTTGAACATGGCACAGTAACACCATAGGGGGATGAATGTTTAAACGCTGTGTTGGGGCTCTCTGTGAATCTACAGGGGTGAGGAATATCCATGGGACTGTATTGTGAGCTATGGGGGTTAGGAGCAGCCAGGGGGCTATACTGTGAGCTATGGGGGGTAGGGAGCACCCCACTACTGCTGTATGAGAATGGGACACTTAAAGTGATCCCCGGACGTCAGATTTAGGGAAGGTGCTTGGAAATTAATCTCACTTTGATAACAGTTCTGATAACAGTTAACACAGTCAGACTTCTGTTTCCCATGGTACAATGTTTGGAGAGTCGATAGTCAATAAAGTTGATAGTCAATATTTCTAGTGAATTTAATTATGCTGAATTATTTTAAGATTTATCTATTTTGTGTATATGAGTAGACTGTAGCTGTCTTCAGACACACCAGAAAAGGGTATTGAATCCCATTACAGATGGTTGTGAGCTACCAAGTGGCTGGTGGGAATTGAACTCAGGACCTCTGGAAGAGCAGTCAATGTAACCACTGAACCATCTCGGCAACCTCAGTCATATAGACTCTTATGTTCCTCTTCATAAGGACATTTTGCTTGAGTAAATAGAGTCTTTATATTTGATGGTCACTCCAGTTTCTCCTAGTTCTAATACGTTTGTGAAAATGGGTGTGGCTTTTCTAACCCAATTGTGACTGAATCATGAGGAGCCGAACAAGGTTTATTGCATGGCTGGTTAATGTTGGAGGGAAGGTGAGGTCAAACCGCACGTAGATACAGTTATAGACACAAATCCTAACTCAGGTGCTTTCCTGCTGGGTGACCTTGCATAACTTACCTCAGCTCCGTTCCCCAGTTTCTTCACTTGTAAAGGAGGGATAATGATACAACCCCTCCTTTAGTCAGGCTGTGAGGAAAAGGTTAACATGTGAGCATATATCCACTTAGAACACTGACAACTAGATCCAAGTAGCATGTACTGCAGGAGCAAAGAAGGTCTCTTTATATCTGAAGCATCTACTAAGGATGTTTCTAGAACACATATACACAGAAACATAAATGTGTCCACTTCCTCTTTTTTGACCTGGAACTTAATGGCACTTGATGAATGGCCTCCAACAAGATATTCCTCTAGAGTTTTTGGTTCCCTTACTTTCTCTGTGCTAAGTACCTTACCAATGTGGTGTCTAAAGTAAAGCATAGTTTTTCCTTTGCGAAGAGGCAGCATTTAGAGGAGCTGAGTGGGTGATTTGGTGACTAGAGATACTTGCTTTACTAGTTACTTGCTATTATCTTGCAGCCATGCTAAAAGCTGGTTTTTGTCTTCCCAGGGGTGATCACAACATATGCATTATATCTAGATGATGCTCTGATTCACAATTCTTCAGAACTCAGCTGCCATGCCTATGGATTTGATCCTGGGAGCTTACACACCTTCCGAGTTCAAGCATGCACGGTGAAGGGCTGTGCTCTGGGCCCATTGGTAAGTGTGTAAATTTACATTCTGGGATGTGTGAGCTGCTGGGTGACACTGGGTGTCAAGGGAGAAATAGGAGCTTGTCAAGTGCAGGGGGAAAGTGTTCTTTTTATTAAAGTTTATTTAAGAGTTGCTTTTAGTTCAATGTACATTTCAGGGCGGTGTGTATATCTATGGGAAGAATGCACATGTTTTTTAATAAACAGTAAGTTGACTCCTTTAATAGCCATACATATAATCATGCTTGCTTTGATGATAAATGCAAGATACTTATTTTTCTACCTAATGACACTCCAATAACTACATTTATGATTTAAAAATGAGCATTGAAAACTATAATTCCCACAGGATGCTTGGATTTCTGTCCAACGGGCAGGTTAATCAATTAAAAGATGGAACTTACTTCATCTCTTAGAATAAAGTATTTTTATTTCATGAATCTGATGTAGCTTTATAAGAATAGTATTTAAATTTTTATGACTATCTGCTTTTGATGTCCACATTTCAGAAGTCTATAATGTATATCTTTTTCGTTGACAGTTAGAAGCATGAAAAAATTATCCTTTGCTTTCCAACATCATTTTCCATCAGTTAACAGTGTGTGACCATCAAAGCCCAGCATAGCATTTCCAGTTTGAAATTAATACATTACACTTTTATGCATTTTCCTTGATTAAATGGGTTTAGCCTCTTTTTTAAGAGAAATACTTACTAGTTATAGGTATTTTTGGCAATGTTTTCTAATTCCCTATCATTTTAATGCACTCTGTCTTTGTTGAATAGTACATTATATAAATATTACCACAAGAAACAGCTCTTTAACTTAATTTGTACTTCCTTACTTTGGATCATACCTTCCACACAGAGATTGGCTACTTTCTAAGAAGCTAAAGCTACATATTCTGAGACTGCGCTGGGAGCATTATTGTAAAGCATTTACAATCAGTGCCCTCTGATGGATACTTACCCTTAAAAGCATAAATGGAAGGAGGCCAGAACTTCTCTATTCAGAGAAAGAGAGTGAGAGAAGAGAGAAGGAAAGAGAAAGAGGAAGAAGACAAGAAGAAGAGGAAGATGAGGAGGAAGAGGAGGAAGAAAAAAACAAAGAAATATTCTCTATTAGCTTAAAACCTTGTACCTTTGCCCAGTGTAAACTGTGAATTATAGTTCTGGCTGACCCACCTTGTCTACAAGTTATCCTAGAAACTTAAAATAAGGGGGCACAGTTATCAATCTCTGTCCTGAACAGACAGCAGGCAACATTAATTAGCCTTTAAAAAGAAAAGAAATGTAAAATCACCACTGCTAGGTCCTCGTCCAGTCTAGTCGGCATGCTGACTTGGGGCACAAAATCACCTCTTCCACTTGGCACTTTTCTCTCTTGCACTTAGCATCTTCTCTGTCTTTCTCTCCTGCACTCAGCCTATCAATATGAATGACTTCTACATTTTGGAGACAGAAATATGCTGCTTTTAACAAAAACACCCTTTGCAATCTTAGTAGCCTTGTTACCCACACATGCAGGAAGACATGGTTCAGCATGCCCTTAGGTGAGCGTGCTTCACAGACTCAAGCGTGGCATCCTATACCCTTCACGTGGGCCAATGGTTCATAAGAGGGAAAAATGGTATGGATTTGGTAAAATAGGGGATTGAAAGCTAAGTCATTCATGTATCAGTTGCATGTTCTTGCTGTTTTGATACAGTAAGACTTTGATGGCTCGATGTGTTTTGCCGTCACAGCCTGACCGAAGGGAGCTATGTGGGGTGATTAAGACAGAATTACTCTCTGTTCTCATTTAACTCCCCTGTGGCCTGTTCCATATTGTCAATTTAAAGAACATATTTGACTTTTGAATGATTTCTAATATACTAAAAAAATACTTCAAACGCTGAAGAGACGGCTGAGAACTTAAGAGCAGGTGCTCTAAGTCTGTGGATTGTAACCACTTTTGGGGGTCAAATGACCCTGTCACAGGGGTCTCCTAAGACCATCAGAAAACCTAGATATTTACATTACAATGTAAAATAGTAGGAGAATTGCAGTTATGAAGTTTAACAACAAAAAATAATGTTATAGTTAGTGGTTACCACAACATGAGGGATTGTATCAAAGAATCACAGCACGAGGAAGGTTGAGAGCCTCTGGTAATCACTGCTCTTGCAGAGTTGGTTCCCAACACCCATGTCAGGCTGCTCACAACTTGTTGAGACCCCCAGCTTCAGGGAAACCAACATCGTCTTTGGCCTCTGGGCTCCTGTACTCACATGCACATACCCATACACAGAAACACATACCAACACATAAGTAAGACCAATAAAATGAATCTTTCAAGAAAAAGATCTTTCTGAAGATGTTGGACCTACCATTTCAGGCTCATTCAGAAGCATACATGTTCTCTGAATCTTTAGATTTCCCAAGAATGTTCATCTTTAAATGATGAAAAAGTAAGTCAATATTACTTACCTAAGAGTTTCAGGAGTGTGACAAGAGTTTTATTAAGAATGGAAATTATGCTGAAATGTTTCTGTGGTTTTATGCACATTCATTCTTAAATTTATTATCTGTTTCAAAGGAAACTTTTAGGCCAAAACTGAGTCAACTTCTACCCTTCTGAGGGTCTTTTCCATTTTTAAGGCAGCATAAATATTTAAGAAGAAAAAGATAAACAAACAAACAAACAAACAAAAACCTTCCTGGTCAGAGAAAAACAGTATAGTTGTCAATTTTTGTATGGAGTAAAAGTCAGAATGTTCATCCAAATGCTGAAGGAAACCTAAGAAAATGTTTTTCTTGAATTAACCAGGCATTTGAAGTGAATAGTATAATTATCCAAAATTATCATTAATTATTTAATTTTTTGAGCATCATTTCATTTGAAACTCCTTTAAGCCCCTTTCTGTACAATGACTGGAGTTGTACACATAGTTAAAGTAGGTGCGTTACTATGAAACATTAAAGGGATGAAGAAAATCTCTCCAACCTAGTTTTTCATCACTTATGTGCATAGCTGTTTGTGACTGAAGCACGGTATGAGCAGGCAGCTCAGCCCCAAAAATCCCAGAGCCCTTCTCCCACAAAGAATACCAGTTACCTCACATTTATTGAAAATGTACACTCTGTCTTTTTCATGCTTGTTTTCTTAATTAGAGATATGTATTCACCTTAAATAAAGCCTTCATAAAGAGACCATTTGTCTGCCACAGGAGCTTGTGGTTGATCTTCTTGTGAGGGGTAGATGACCCTGTTTGTGCTGACAGAGACAGGCAGATGACTAGTGCATTCCAACAAGTAAGTCTAGCCTTCTGATTAGTTCTAAGCCAGTGAGAGATGCTGTCTTAAAAACAAAATAGGTAGTTCTTACAAAGCGATGTCTGTCGTTCTGTCGTTGCCTTCTGGTCCCCAGAAGTACATGTACATGTACATGATTTGCCTGCACACACATATAGAGACATGCAAACACAAAGAATAGGGTGAAATTTACCTGCATATTCAATAAACTTTGAAAGATGAAATAAGAACAATTGATGCTCAGTTTACCAAGCTCTAGCCAGTGATTAAAAAACAATAAAAAAGGCTGTGGGCCCGTTTTTACTTTCTTGCCAACAATTACATCTTCCTTTGGACACTCAGTCATTGTTGGGCTATTAGTTACTGGACACTTCCTTATTGAGCCATCACTGATCCTTGTCCAGTTTAAGACTTATTTTTATCTCAGAGCCTTCCCTTTGAAGCAATTCATTTTCTATATAAGCAGGTCAGCATCCCGTCCAACTCTTGTGTGATTGTTTCTCCGTGAGATTCACTATGGTACATTTATTTCTTGATGCCATCATGATGTGTCCATGCAAAATGCAGCCTCGCTCCATGGGGAATCAGAGGCAGCTTATTCTGAGCTAAATGTGAGCGAACATGACCCAGAAATGTGGATTCTGGTTGCTCTGAGTGACAGCTTACACAAATAAATGATTACATAAATGTTTCATAGTTACATAACAAAAAAATGAGTAAACAAACAAAAAACAAATAAATTATATAAATCTGTGTTCTTAGGAAATACACTGGTGGGAGCACTGGGTAGGCGGGCTACAGAAAAGCCAGAGACTGCTACAGATCCCAGATGCTGTCTGTGCCTTTCGGATTGGTGAAGGCCAATAATCTGCTCAATAAGTACATTCCCAAGATTTCACTTGATGGTCAAGAGGTGTGAGTCAGATTCAGACATGGGTGGTAAAAGACTGACTGTTCAGGGAAAAATATTTTAAAAGATAGCCGAAGATGATTCTGGCTCTGGATATGCAATGTCCCAACACTTCAAAAACACAAGGGGCCCTACTCATTCATCTGGGCTCTTTAACATAGAT